CCGTTTAGGGCCCCTGAACTACTGGGAGATTCAAGAACACAGTAGGTCCTTATCTTTGCTGACATACTCTCTGAAGTGCTACTCCTATTGCCCTGAAATGCCAGAGCCATTTCTCCCACTCTCTGCTTGGAAACCACTACTAACCTCGCTGGATGCCTCCACAGATTTATATCAAAAAGCTGTAACTACACTTTGTTGCACCTTTTTCATTTACTTCTCTCTCCTCAGTAGTATGTAAATCTCTTAATGAAAAGGGACAATCCCAGCACTAATAAATGTTTAGCAAATGAATAAATGGCACACAAAATAAATCCATCAAAATTTGCCATAATTTTCCTGCTCTCCTATGCTATTTTTATTTTTACTTCATTATTTTTCAAAAACATTATTTTTAATGGCAGCATATTATTAATTTTATGACTATTTCTTTATAGTTTTGGTGGATACCACCTACCTATTCCTAATCATTCATTTGCATCTATTTAGAATAGTCACAATTTCATAAAGTATTTCTCTGCTTTGATTCCCTCCTTAGTAAAGGCAAAAGCAATGAAATCTTAGTCTTTCTGAGATGACCCTTTTTATCTATGGCAGCCACTTCTGCACCTGAGGATTAAGGGGCTCTGTCGAATATTATTTTACTAATGGCTTCAGAGTGCTTCAAAGTCAACTGTAAAATCCAATTAAATTTTTTTTCCTTTAGTTTTCAGTATATAATTAATTTCCAACAGCTTGTGGGTAGTCTTCTTCTCCTTAACTGGAATATCTCTGATTTTTTTTTTTTTTAATTTCTCTATTAAGACCTTAGTTAACTTTGGCAGGGGTTTTACTAAATGTATTTTTCAATTTGGTTACTTAATAGGCCATTGTCACTTCTTATATAGACACCCCAAATTTGATAGATTTGTTTTTTTTCTACCCTATTTGTGTTGAGGTTGTTACTAAGAGTGTTTCACCACAAATCATTTTAGAAACCAGCTTTATATATTCATTACCAATTACATCTCACTCAGCTAAGGATATTTTTTCCTTTTGTAAAATATATGCAGATACTTAAGTCCTGTCTGGTTTAACTTTGTGATTTACCAATTCATCACTTCCGGGTCAGGTTTTACTATCTTCATAATGTGGTCCATGATCTACGATTAGTAGCTCCACTATACTAAATTATAAGATTCATTATAAGGTTCTGTATTCATTCGATGTATACGTATTCATTCGATGTACAGGTATTCATTATAAGATTCCTAATATGCATATTACATGAAATTTTACAAATAAAGGACATAAGCTTTGCTATCAGGCAGATCTAGATTCAGATTCACCTTGAACACTCTATGAGTCCATGGACAAAGTACTTGCCTATCTATAGGTAACTCGCATGCATAATACAGGGCTAAGGAGCAAAATGAATGTAAAAGTAACAATGTATGATAAATGCCTACAAATAATGCCTTGTATATTACATGGAAAAAATGTTAATTCACTCCCTCTTCTTTCCCATCTCAAGCAGTAATAAGGGCAATAAATGCTGTGCTCCTCAATTTATTTTAAGCCCATTATTAAATTCCCTTAATTAAAAGCAATATGGGAATATGGACCATGAGCTTTTGATGTTCATATACTCCAACCCAATATTTTCACTTTGGAGAATCTATCTTAATGAAATAATCTAAAACACAGAAGTTTTTTCATGTACAAAGGATGCTCAGTGTAGTGTTTCTTAGAACTGCAAAAAAAAAAAAAAAAAAAATCAGAAACTTGCTAACTGTCCAATAGGAAAATGTTTAATTATGAGAAAGTCACATTATGTGGTCATTTTAAAAGATGCTGACAAAATAATAGCATGAGAAACAGCTTATGATGCTAAGTGAAAAAAGCAGAATGCAAAGTTATTCATACAGTAAAGTCTCAACTATGTAAAAATCAAACTGAGAAAAAATACTGGAAGGAAATGTATCAGTGGGTTTACAGTAGTTATCTCATAGTTTAGATATTAGTGATTATAATTTTATGAGTTGTTTTCTAAAATATTAATGATCATGATGATGATAATAGCAGTTATTATTTATGGAGTGTTCACTACATCAGGCCCAGTTCTCCCAACCAAGTACTAACCAGGCCTGACCCTGCTTAGCTAACGAGATCAAACGAGATCAGGCACGTTCAGGGTGGTATGGCCGTAGACACATCAGGCCCAGTTCTAAGAGCATACTTTATTAACTCATTTAATCCTCACAGAATTATGAGATGAGAAAATCTGAGACACAGTGAGATTAAGTAATTTGCCCAAATTCACACATAATTTAAGAAGGTACCACAATTTGAAGTCTGGCCCTAGAGCTTCTGTTCCTAACTGCAACATTCGAAGATTTGCTTTGCTTTTAAATTTTAACCATTAAAAAGGTTCTCCCCAAATCTTGTGGTCTTTCAGTTACCAGCTTTCTTTAGCTTTAGGCTTTCCTTCAGTTCTGAAATCAAATAATTGCTCTGCCATTAGGTGCCATTTTGGAATAAGACATAGCCACCATTCCTCTATGGGTTCTATATACTCCAGAAAATTCCAAGACAAATCTGCATCCCTATTTCCTGTCCCATTACCTCATTTAACCACTAAGACTCATTTAACCATTCTTAGTTATTACACCTACTTTCAGTACTTCAAAGAATTCTAGTAAGGAGGTCCAGAGGTAACCAGACATGGCTTCTAGGAACTCTCTCCTACACTAACACCCATCCATATAACTACAAATCTAGTTACCACCCTTACAGACATCCATCTTCCATCATAAAGTTCATCTGCCCTTGTGACCCAGGAGACACCCCTCACCTCCCAACTCTCACTGGTTATCTACCATGACCCTGGTTGAATGGGACCAACTAAGAAAGAGTCCCAACATTTGGGGAATTTTTTGTCCCTGATCCCTATTTTTGAAGATGGCATTATTCTCTATTGTTTCTGAAAACAATCAGTTAATAAATCATTTTGGTTCTTTCAGCTTTCTCACTCTTTTGCTGGTAAACCAAATTGGTTTTTTGGAACAAGACCTTTTTGGCACCAATATATATATTCAAGTATCAATCCCAAGAAGAAATATTCACAACTTATACCCTGGGCAATAAAAACAACTCCCACTTAATTGCTGTGCTCCTCTCTGCAGTTTACACTTGATAAATCTATTTCATGACATATGTCACTTGTTTTGCCTTCCTTTATTAACCAAATTTCTTTTCTGAAAAACAGTATTTGCAGAATCCAACATGGATAAAAGCAAGCAATTCTTCTAAAGATAGTACATTTACATTTCAATGCAGTTCATTTACAGTATTTAGAAAAACTGAGTTCATGTGATGGCTTTAACATTATATAAAAAAGAAAAACTAGTCATAAAAACAATGAATACAATATCAAGTATTGATAATGGAAATATTTACAACCAGAATCATACATATTTTTACCAAAATCTTATCCTGCTCATAGTATGTGATGGTAATAAGCTTGATTACTTTAAAAGATTTTTATAGATATTTCAGGAGGAGGAATTTAATAATTCCCTGAATACCTAGGAAAAAAATGTAACTACATCAAGGCTGATCAAGGTGGGGGCCCTTTTAGGAAAAAGAAAATGGAGCACCAATAGTTCATTAGGTTCACATTAAATTAGGTGAAGTAAAAACCGGATTGCTATGTTTGCATAATTGTTATGCATTTATGACTACATATGCGGGGGAGTAAAAAAGAAATCTGCACCTTCAAACTAATATTCCCCTTTTGCGGCTACAAGTTTTCAACTTGGTGGAACCATTCTCTAAGAATGGTGTGCAGAGCAGGGTAAAAGTAGAAAACAAAACTGTTTCCCCCCCAAAACGGAATGCTCCCCTGCTTCATTAAGTATAACTTCTTTGCCATTCTAATATGAAAGCTCTGATGTAACAGGGAAACTTAAAATCCAAAAGGAACTTTTGTTATCCTAAAAATGAGTGGGTCACGATAGCCATTTTACAACCTCACATTTCCAAATAGCTATTAGACGATACAACTTTTTTTTTTTTAATCTTTTCTTTAGGCTGAAAAATAAAGTACTATTTATAAACTCATCGTTGAAGTCATCACTGTTTCAAGGCAGGATTGTTATTAAGCTCCTTAATACAACTGTCAAAATCAATTTGTGGACAGCCGCCAAGTTTAAATTTCTGCATCTGTTGATGAACCAAACTGATTAGTGATTGTTAAGATAACGGACTTAAACTGTAAGCAATCCCTGCAACATCCAGTTGGTTTTTACAGTCAGTAGATAAATAGGTGATCATTTTTGAAAAGGAAGAAAGCCGTTTCTTTTTAACTGTGGTAGCGGGTCTGCTCCTCAGCAGCTGTTCCCTGTTGCGTGTTCGCATGGGAGTACAAAAGCGTGGAAGTGCAAAACCCAAACCCACGCAAAGCTCGTACAAACATTAAAATTATGTAAATATGTCGTGAGGCCAAGAGGCCCCAAGGGGCAAGAACAGCCCAGAGAAAGCGATCAGCCAGCTGAGTGTGGAGGCGAAGGTGTGCGGGCCCCGGACACCCCAGGGCCGAGAGGGCCGGGCGGGGCGACAAAGACGGGCCATCCGGGGCAGCGCCCCGCAGTGTCCCAAAGCTCCCAGAACCTGCGGGAAGCAGCCGTCCTGGGGCAGCGATCGCGACACGAGGGCCCTCAAACGCCGCGTGTAACAAAAAGCTCCCCGGCGAGAAGGCTCTCCCCTTCGCGCCGTCCCTACCGGGCCCTAGGCCCTGACCTCCGACACCTGAGGAGCGCTGCCCGACCCCTGCCCGTGTCCCGCAGGACGCCCCGGCCGGCAGCTGTTGGGCTTAGAACCGCGCCGCCGCCGCCGCCGGGCTCCAAACGGCCGGGAGGGCGGCCGGTCCGGCGCCTCTCCCCGCGGCCCGTCAGGCAGCTTCGGAACAGCTGGCCTCCGCTCCCGCCCTCCAGGCTGGGGCCGCGCACCCTCACGCCACCTACCCGGTCCCACACCATCCCAGAGGCCTCTGGCGCTCGGGCCCTCAGCCGTAGCGGCGCTGCCTCCCGTCCGGGGCCTGAAATGGCTGCGGAACAAAGAGAATCTGGGCTCCGGCGAGCGCGGGTCCGATTGGCCGGGGGGCGGGGCCCGCCTCGGGAACGTTCGGCGGCGGTCGCCTAGGCAACGGCGGCGCGGCTGGGAAAACCCGGGCCCCGGCCTGCCAGGCCTTCGGACCTGTGCCCGGCGGCGCGCTGCAGCGGTGGTTGAAGCCGCGCTGCAGCCCGCTGCTCTGCGCCAGGAGGCCTCGACCAAAATGGCCCTGCGTGTGTGCATGCTTGGGGGTTGTCCAGGGCCTCCTAGCAGGACCACCCTACACCAGCGAACTTCCGTACCCCGGGGTAATCTCCCAAGTGACAGCCCTGCCCCGGGAGCCTATGTAACACCGAACATGCGCATATCCCCCAATAATACAGGTCCAACGTCGCTGGTAGAAAAACAAACGGCTTCATTAGATGGATATGGGCAGAAGGCTGCCTGCTAATGTTGCGTGATTGACTTTTGAGGTCTACTGCACCTGGCATGTCAACTGCCGTGTTTGTTAAAATTAAAAGATTTATAAAATTAAGTTTTACATGTCCGAGTGTGTATTCAAATAAAACTAGTTTCTTGCTCTTAGAAATAACAAGCCCTCCTCTCCGTAAGCAGCCGCCACGAGAAATTAAAATGTCTTCTGTTTTCTAACAGAACATAATTCAAAATGGGAGAGGTAGATATTTTTATACTCAATTATAATAATAGTAATGAATTGATAAATAACAGTTCCTTTCCCCACATTATTCTTATATATAAATTTACTATGTATGAATATTTTTAATTTGCATAGCTGGATAATCATTGTATCCTATGGTGATGATGCCGTTGATAATATTCTTCCTCATAAGATCGACGCGTGTAAAATGCCGGCAATTTCGACTATCCTACTTGCAAGTGCTGTATATATTATGTTTTGAAAATGTGTAGCAGTTGTTGCCTTGCAGGCATATTCTAGATAAAAGTATAGTACCGATACTAGAAAGTTTTAAAAAATTTATATTGATGTAGCTTATTTGTTAACAAACTTGCTAATAATTTTCATTTGCAACAAGTCATTTTACAAAACAATTTATTTCACTTAAATGTTGAGTATAGAAGGACTATCTTTATCATTAGGAAGTGGAACATAGTAAGAAAAAATATTTTAAATAACTGAAATGCTCGTAATTATGAACCCACCATTTCCTAATGTTAATTCGATAGCACTTGGATACAGGAGCATGCAGCAAAAGGAGGTCTCCAAATAGGGACAGATTGCAAGAAAAAAAACTTAATGTAAACCTTCTGAAATGGTAGTTTAGTGTATCTGCAAGAACATTTATCCAAAATATGTATATTTATCCAAATAACAAAAAGGGCTTATTTCTACATTTGAAAAGTCCCATTGTGGGACTTTTTTGGGACATCAAGGGAGCCTTGAGCCATACCACTCAGGGGATGTGTGGCATCTGCATTTTACTTTGCTAAAGAAAAATAATAGGAATACTTTCTAAATGTAAAGGTTGAGCAAATAATGATGGATGTAAAGAACTACTGACAAAGCAATGAGGAATTCACCTGAATAATACTTTGGATTATTATATGTAATAATTGAAATTAATTTTAAAAAGTGAAGTATTATTTGATGTAAGAGGATTTATTGACCAAAATCTTTTTAAAGAAAAGATATTATCAAATGTGAAACTGAGACTGAGCAAATTAATATTCATACGTCTACAAAATTTAAATGAAAATGAATTAAAAATTTAGTATGAAATAGTTCTGCATTGAATGAAGAGATACTTATACATACAGCATTTTTGTCTCTACCTTCTAGGTTAAATTAAAAATACATGTTTTAAACAGTAGATCTTCTTACCATTAACAAGGATTTATTAACGTAGCTTATTTTATTTTACTTTTTCTGTTATTTGTTTACCCTTTGCACACTTTGCACATGAAATAGCAGCTATTCAGTAATGTTTTCTCTTTATACCTAAATACAAAACAGCAGAACTCCTGTAGGAAAACTTTGTCAGTATTTTTAATGACATATACTTAAAAGTGGTAAATAACTTAGATTTTTAACCCCCAAACCTACTACAGATACCTATATTTAAAATTTCTTTATTAATTCTTTTCTTAGGTGAAAAAAATCAAAGAATGGTAGAAATTACAAAATAGCATTAAGGGAGAAACATACCTATAAGCTTTCCCCTTGGAAGAAAAAGATGCTTACTCTGTCAGATGTAGCATTGTCAAAATAAGCATGAAGCTGGGAGGCAGAGGGCCTGTATGCAGATGATTCCAGTTCAGCCTTTCTGAGCTTCACTTGTCTTAAACGGGATTAAATAAGATAAAGTATATTAAGAGCTCATTAGCAGAGTGCCTGGCAGATAGTTAGAGGGCAATAAAAGATAGTATTACTAGGTATTAATATATATAAAAGAACAAATGCCTGAGAAGGAGGAATGGTGATTGAAAAAAAATTATAGGTTTGGAAATCTAAAAATTGTTAAATATCTTGTTTTTTTAAAAAGATTTTATTTATTTATTTAATTGACAGAAAGAGAGACAGCGAGAGAGGAAACACAAGCAGGGGGAGTGGGAGAGGAAGAAGCAGGCCTCCCGCGAAGCAGGGAGCCCGATGCGAGGCTTGATCCCAGGACCCTGGGATCACGACCTGAGCAGAAGGCAGTCGCTTAACCAACTGAGCCACCCAGGCACCCCCCAAAATTGTTAAATATCTTTAATAGGCAATTGTTCGTGAATGTATAGAAACACAGTAAAAGATATGAAATAATCTTTTAGATACAGGCAATCTTCTAAAAGAGAATACCTCTTTTTTTAAAAAAAAATATTTATTTATTTTTAAAGATTTTATTTATTTTGACAGAGAGAGAAAGAGAGAGACAGTGAGAGAGGGAGACAGTGAGAGAGGGAACACAAGCGGGGATGGGATGGGAGAGGGAGAAGCAGGCTTCCTGCCGAGCAGGGAGCCCAATGTGGGGCTCGATCCCAGGATCCTGGGATCATGACCTGAGCCGAAGGCAGACGCGTGACGACTGAGCCACCCAGGCGCCCCTAAAAGAGAATAAATACTTCTGAGAAATATTCTCATCATATACTTTGGGAATGATGTGGGAATTCTCATTATAACCTTTAATAGTATACAGTTTAAGGAATTGCCTTCCATTGCAACATCTTCAGATTGGCATTAAGGAAAAAAACCATTTTTAAAAGTAATTATTTAGAAGAATTTATTCAAATTCTGAAAGAGAACAGCTATAGTCAATATTTAGAAATGTGTAAATAATCTATAGACATTTTTCATTTAAAGCAAACCCACTATACTGTTTGAATGTACAAAAAAGATAAATTAGAGAGTTATTATCTGGGAGGGGATTAACTTCAAAGTTTCTTTAACTATGAATGTCTCTCCGTCATTAAAATATGATTCTATTTATAAAAAGGTCAACTTAGACTTCTACTTCTGGGAAGATGGAGTAGACCTACTTTTCCCTATTCCTCCCAGTAAGTACAATTACAAGCCCCTAAACATTACGTATAAAACAAACATAAGAAGACTCTGAAAGATGGAGAGAAGACAGACCAGCAAGGACCTCAAGACCCAAGGTCAGCACTATGGTTAGTTCCCTGGGGGATTTTGTTTGTTTGTTTGTTCTGTTTTGGTTTTGCCTCATCTATCCCAGACTTGAAATGGAAGGTGCTGGAAACATGAAAATGCCAGTGGTTCAGACAAAAAATCCCCAACAAAATACTGCTCTGTTTAGCTGAAGAACCAGAAAAGAGGCAGTATAACAGATTAGAAAAAACAAAAACAAAAAACAACCAACCAAGCAAACAAAGAAAACCACTTAGACAATAACCGATAAAACTAAAGAAAAGCAAACTACAGGAAAAAATCATGGCCACTCCTCCCCAGCCCCGACTCAAGTAAGCAAAGGCCTAGGGGAAAGCCTAGACTTCCACCTTCACCAGACTGTAACAGTGGCCCCAACCCCACCTCCCATCCCATGGTGTCAGAGAGTTAAGCAGGCAGCCAAGACTTTCATCCCCACTGGCCAGTAATGAGAGAGAGAGAGAGAGAGAGAGAGAGAGACTTTCATCTTGGGTGTGAATGGAGGCCAAGTGAGGAACTTAGACTACTCTCCAACCTGGCAGTAATGAGGTGGTACCTGCTCCCCACCCCCACTTCCTCTAACAATGCTTTCTCAGAAAAAGCCAGCTAAAACAATATTTAAATAAGATCCAAAGTCTTATAACAAGATACCCCCAAATGTTTAGGTTTCAGTTGAAAAGTGCTCATCTTATCAAGAGCCAGAAACATCTCAAACTGTACAAAAAAAAAAAAAAGAAAGAAAAACAAAAACCCAACAACTAATAGATGACAAAACCAAGACAACAGAGATGTTAGAATTATCTGACAAAGATTTTAAAGCAGAAATAAAACACTTCAATGAGCAACTACAAAAACACTTAAAACAGGGAAAAAATAGTCTCCGCAAAGAAATAGAAGAGGTAAAGAATGGCTGAATCAAATTTTAGAACTAAAACATACAATAATCAAAATAAAAAACAAAGTGGATGGGTTCAGCAACACAGTGGAGAAGACAGAGGAAAGAATCGTGAAAATGTAGATGGAGCAATAGAAATTGCCCAATTTAACAATGGAGAGAAAATAAATTGAAAAAATAAATGAATAGAGTTTCATGGAATTAACAAAAGGTCTAACGTTCGTGTCCTGAGTCTGGGAAGGAGAAAAGAAAGAGGGTGATACTAAAAAATAAAGAAATAATAGCTGAAAACGAGAAATTTGACAAAAGACATACACCTACAGACTTAAGAAGTTGAACAGAGTTCCAGCAAAGGTGCCAAAACAATGAAATGGGGAAAGACAGTTTTCAACAAATAGTCCTGAGACAACCGAGTATCCACATGCAAAAGGATAAAGTTGGATCTCTACCTCATATAATATACAAAAATTACCTCAAAATGGAT